GAAATAAGAAAAGAGATAAATCAGAAAGTAAAGAATGAAATATAAAGAAGTAAGGAAATAAAGAAGAAATAAATATAGGAAAAGTAAGACGAGCACAGTGGAAAGTGAAAGGGAACAGAGTGAAACGAGAAATCAGAAATCAAGATGAAAATGAAGAAGTCAAAAAGTAGAAAAGAAATGAGCAAAGAGATAAATAAGAAAGCAAAGAATTAAATATAAAGAAATGAGGAAGTAAAGATGAAATAAATATAGGAAAAGTAAGACGAGCACAATGGAAAGTGAAAGGGAACAGGGTGAAACGAGAAGACAGAAAGGAAGATAGAAGTAAAGAAATAAAGAAGTAGAAAAATAAGGAATTGAGTTATAAAAGTAAAGAAGAAATAAGGAAAGAGATAAATAAGAAACTAAAGAATTAAATATAAAGAAATAAGGAAATAAACAAGAAATAAATATAGGAAAAGTAATACAAGCACAATGGAAACTGAGAGGGAACAGAGTCAACGAGAAATCAGAAATGAAGATAGAAATAAAGAAGTCAAAAAGTAGAAAAGTAAGGAATAGAGTTGAAAAGTAGTGAAGAAATGAGGAAAGAGATAAATAAGAAAGCAAAGAATTAAATATAAAGAAATGAGGAAGTAAAGATGAAATAAATATAGGAAAAGTAAGACGAGCACAGTGGAAAGTGAAAGGGAACAGAGTGAAACGAGAAGACAGAAAGGAAGATAGAAGTAAAGAAATAAAGAAGTAGAAAAATAAGGAATTGAGTTATAAAAGTAAAGAAGAAATAAGGAAAGAGATAAATAAGAAACTAAAGAATTAAATATAAAGAAATAAGGAAGTAAAGAAGAAATAAATATAGGAAAAGTAAGACGAGCACAATGGAAACTCAGACGGAACAGAGTGAAACGAGAAATCAGAAAGGAAGATAGAAATAAAGAAGTCAAAATGTAGAAAAGTAAGGAATAGAGTTTTAAAAGTAGAGAAGAAACGAGGAAAGAGATAAGTGAGAAAGTAAAGAATGAAGGATAAAGAAATAAATATAGAAAAAGAAGAAGGTTGGTAAAAGATAAGAGGGGTGCTTCCAAGAGACCAGTATAGGAGACCGGCTCGAAGATAAATGAGCGATTAGTCCCGGGACTGCCTCGTCGTTCCCCCCACCATGCGCCTGCTCCCCCTCGCCGAGTCCTGCGCGACGAATTTGCGCGCAAACAATTTTGAGCAACTTCTAATTCTTCTAAATATATTTACTCAGAATTTCCGATCTCTACGTGTTAATATTTTACTTTATTGATTTACTTAATTATTTTGATGTTCCAGACACCTAATTTATTTACGATTTAGTGCAAAAGGTAGGAAAAGTAGGAAGTATGTACAAGGAAGCGAAATGGGCCCCTCCCCGCCCATTTCCGTGAGTTCCAGCCTCTCCACAAGGGAGCAACGAACCCTCCGAGGCCCCATAGGGGACTTTGTTTTTTTTTTGTGGAAAACCCCCGAGTCCCGGGGCTGTCGCACACAGCGGGAATAGCGAAAAACCTCTGCCCGCCAAGCTACGCGTTCGTGTTCACGTTTAGCTCGGTTACGACGGAATATATATTGTCGACGGAGGCAATGATCACATTATCCTACTTCCAGATTCGCCGCTACGATTTAGCGCCATGATTTTAGTATCGCTTAAAACTGTAGCAGTGTGCATCTCCCTACTGAAGGGAATACTAAACCTTTTTTTTTTGTACAGTTGGCGTTGGATTGCTGATTATCTTAAAGTGCGTATACAAACAAAGAAAGACGTCATTCTGTAATTTTCAAGTGAGGTTTGTATTAATAAATAAAGAAAGAATGGCTGGAGGAAGAGGAATTCTAAGTTTACGATTTAATCAAGATCAAGGTATTAAGAGTTTCATTATTGGAACGTAACAATTTCTAAAATATTTACTGTAACCTATGCTATTTCCGAATATCTGCAGGATGTTTTACATGCTGCATGGAGTCTGGACTTCGAATATATAATGTAGAGCCTCTGGTAGAAAAAGCACATTTTGAAAATGAACTAATGGGTAGTATTGCCATAGGAGAAATGCTCTGGAGAACAAATATTATTGCTGTTGTTGGTGGTGGTACAAGACCAAAATTTGCAGATAATACAGTTTTAATCTACGATGACGTCTCTAAGAAGTTTGTAATGGAAATCACATTCACAAGTCCTATTAAAGCTGTAAGATTACGTAGGGACAAGTAAGATTCATTTACATAATATTGATTTTGTACCAGGATTAGCTCAAAACCGTATTACAATTCTGTTTTTCTATTTAGATTAATTGTTGCACTGCAAAGAGAAATTCATGTCTTTTCGTTTCCACTGCCAACGCGTAGACTTCTTACCTTGGAAACAAGAGACAACCCAAAGGGCTTGGTAGAGGTTGCAACACTTGCAACAGCCCATAAACAATTGCTTGCGTTCCCAGGACACAAACGTGGGAGTGTACAGTTAGTTGATTTAGCTGCAACGGAAGCTGGGAGTTCCAGTGCACCAGCGACACTCACAGCACATCAGGTTTTACTCCATCTGAAAACTATGTAAAAAAATTAATCATATTTTAATAAATGTATTATTAATCAGGGAGCATTAGCTTGCCTTGCAGTGAATGCTAGTGGAACGATGGTAGCTACAGCTTCTACTCAGGGAACTCTCGTTCGAGTATGGGATAGCCTGCGCAGACATTTACTTGTTGAACTGAGAAGAGGTGCAGATCCAGCAACACTTTACTGGTATATAGTTGCCTCATTATTATGTATAATATTTATTATTCAGTTTCCGTTCTGATATTTCAGCATAACGTTTAGCAGAGATTCTGAGTTTCTCTGCGCCTCCAGCGATAAAGGGACGGTCCATATATTTGCTTTAAAGGATACACATCTCAATCGTAGATCCACGTACGTCTCAAGCTAGATAGTTATATATTATATAAAAACTAAATATTCTTTGATCTTCAATAGTTTCTCCAAGATGGGGTTTCTGGGGAATTATGTAGAGAGTCAATGGGCCCTGGCAACATTTACTGTACCACCAGAATGCGCTTGTGTTTGCGCTTTTGGAGCAAGAAGTTCGGTCATAGGTATTAATTAGCTTAATAATCATTTGTACTTATGTGCAATGCACATTCCATTTTTTTTTAAATTACTGTTCCAGCAATATGCATGGATGGGACGTTCCACAAATATGTGTTCACAGCTGATGGTAATTGTAATCGCGAAGCCTTTGATGTCTTTTTGGATGTCTGTGATGATGATTTTTGAAATAAAGTTACAAAATTTATTAGTAAAAATGAACTGTGTTACTAGCTCCTAGATCAAAATTAAGAAAGTTTTTATTTTGTATCTACTACTTTGTGTTTTATTTAAAAATATATGTACCATTATTACATAATGAATAATACGATGATCTTTCTTCTGTGTACTCTCTTCATTTATACATCTCTATTCGGAGGTTTTATTATATTCCTTTGTCGAATCTCCTCTAAAAATTTACATTCAATATCATTTTTAATAACTAAGATGTAATATACGAGATAAATATGTATCAACATACTGTAAGGCTCTGGATTCAGCATCGGCTTAATGATAACAGGATAAAGTGCTAATCCCAGAATTCCAAGAAAACTCCCAAAAATCATTGTATATCCTGCACCCTTTAATTTACTCATTTAATCTTATAAGGTACCTATTAAGAATTTCCAGATTACAATATAACCTTCAGAATACACACTCCAAAAGAGAATCGACTTTGACATTTGATTTACAGTTTTCTGCAAAGAATTGTACAAATAGCATATACTATGGGGTGAATAATACCTTAGTTCTCCAAAATTTGTGAACTTTTAGTGATTTTATACAGCTTTATGAAGTTGCGAATTTATACTATCTTGTCTACGTCTATCCCCATTCGTATAGCACTGCGGTGCATGACAGGTGGTACGAGCTCTAAAAGTTATAATTACTAGTAAACATATTCTTTAACAACGGACAAACAGTATTAGAAATCTAACATAATTTTTTTAGTCGTTGAGAAATATTGTTATCAATATATTATTAGGTATCAATTCCGCGGAACAAATGAAAAGAGCAGCCCGGTGAGGTTAACAGAACTGAGCAAACATGAAGAAGCAGCTATCGTGTTTTGCTTTAGCCGGTGCTATTAGATTGCTGTTAATGACGTCTGACTATCAAACTTTAATCACCGATCGAGTGGAAGTTTCGACTGCATTGAACTCTTGGAAAAAAGGTTTGTGTCTTTCAAAGGGAATCTTGGAACCGTTTACTTATTTTTTTGTTTTCTAGTTACAGAGGGAGTGTACTTGCACAATGCAGGAATTGATCCTTACAGTGGAGAATTATTTCATGAAAGCCCAATAGGGCTCCTTGCATTTTCATTGATGCAGAAATACTTGTCAATATTTGCACTGCATGTATTATTTATCATCACTGATTTGGCAACAGCTTGGATCCTTGCTTCGACAGCACAATTATATATGGCGGAGCTAGTAAGTTCTATTATAAGATAATTGTACCCAATTAGCTTATGCTGACAATTAATGTTTATATTGCAGATTGCTAGAGAGAAAGAAGAAAAATCACAATTGCCAGCTGAAAAGGCAAAAGACAATATATGTATATCAGTTAGAGACACTGCATCAGCTTCTATTCTATACGTGCCTGCAACATACTTACTAAATCCTTTTATAGTGCTCAATTGTGTCGGACTTACCACTACAGTATTCACTAACTTTCTTTTTGCATTAACTCTCTTCTCCATAATAAGGCGTTCTGTCTTCTGGAGTTGTCTGTCCATAGCATTGCTAACTCTTCAAGGACTGTACCCTGTAACTCTGATGGTACCTGCAACAATTTACATTGCTGGTAAAAATTCGCAAACATGTAAAGTAGCTGTAGCAAAAATTATCCTTACTTTTCTTACGTTGCTAGTTACATTGCTATATGCTTCATACTATATCATGGGTAGTTGGTCTTTTCTTTGGAATACAATCGGATTCATTCTCATAGTTCCTGATTTGAGACCTAACATAGGCCTTTATTGGTACTTCTTCACTGAAATGTTTGAACACTTCAGATGGTTATTCGTTGCTTCATTCCAAATAAACGTAGGACTATTGTACATAGTTCCCCTTGCATTAAGATTACGTCAGGATCCTATGCTCCTAGCATTTTCATACCTAGCTATTGCTGCCATATTTAAATCCTACCCTTGTCTGGGAGATGTTGGATTTTACATGGCTCTGTTACCAATGTGGAAGCATCTGTTTCGCCGTAAGTTCTATCTCATTTTTAAAATCACTCAATAGCTATCGACACTCTTTTGATCTGTTACTTTTTCTATACAGATATGCAGCAAGGATTCATCGTAAGCTGCTTCCTACTGTTTTGCACAGTATTCGCACCCACTGTTTGGCATCAATGGATATATTCCAGATCGGCTAACGCAAACTTCTACTTTGGAGTCACATTGGCATTTGCTGTTGCCCAGATTTTTCTGTTAACTGACATTTTATTCGCAAGTGTCAAACGAGAATTTGCTCTTCGTTATGGTCTCTCTAGGGAAGTTAATGGAAATAAAGCTAAGTTGTTATTAGAATAAATAAACGCAAGCATAGAATGTTACATTGGGCCGATGTCAATAGTTGCTACAGTAAATTAAGAAGTACATGAACAAAATAATAGTTTAAGGGATTTCATGTAATTTTTGGAAATAGCATGAATAAACCAAAATCTTTTAGTACAATGCATAAATAAATTATTTCAATTGTATGGAGTAAAGATCTTTAAAAGGATGATTTTACTGTTTGACCGACAGTTGGTTGAGCGGAGCAAAGTCATCTGTTAATATTTATTACAAGAGCAAAAGGAGCATTAAGACGAAGTTTCTGCGTTTATACAATTTGTTATTTCATTTATACGAATAAATCTAATCGAGAAGAAGTCGGTTTTTGTAAATTCTTTAAGCATAATCTTTTCATTGCTTCCAAATATCTTTCTAGTCAATTATCTCACATCTAAGAAAGTGTATAGTATAAACGAGTGCTGACAAGGGTTATACTGACAATCATATTTAACCAGAATGGGACAAACATTGAGTGAACCAGTGACAACTAAAAAATCAGCTTGTTGTAAGGACTCTAAATACAGAGTAGGTAGTTCATGCATGCAAGGATGGCGTGTCGGGATGGAAGACTGTCATGTACATATTCTATCCCTACCTGATGATCCAGGAACACCCTTCTTTGCTGTTTACGATGGACATGGAGGTATATTAATATACTACTCATTTAACAATGTCTGTATTAGGAGATGATATGATAATTTTTTGTTTGCCAGGTGCGGCAGTAGCACAATATGCCGGTAAACACCTTCACGAGTATATAGTCAAACAGCAGGATTATAAGGATGGCAATATCGCTAGGGCAATGGAGTTAGCTTTTCTGAGATTGGATGAGGCGATGCAGTATGACCCCGTAATTATGGATGAACAAGCAGGAACAACTGTCATTGCCCTGCTAATCAAGGATAATATACTTTACAGTGTGAGCTATTATCCCATTCGTAACATTATATTACTAGTAATTGATATTTTGTTATACTAAAAGGAATAATTTTGCAGGCTAATGCTGGAGATAGCAGAGCTGTAGCCAGTGTGGCAGGAAAAACAATACCATTAAGTAGAGATCACAAACCTACACTGGATGGTGAGTGGCAACGAATAAAAGCTGCAGGTGGTACAGTGGAATTCAATAGAGTCAATGGGCATTTGGCACTTTCCCGCGCTCTTGGAGATTTCATGTTTAAAAGGAATGAAAGGAAATCAGCTGAAGAACAGATGGTTACAGGTAAAATATTCTGAATAAAAAAAGTCATGATCCAAACCAAATCCAAATAATTTCCAAATCTACTCTTTGCGTAGCTCTTCCAGAGGTAGAGGAACATGAGATCACAGATGACTGGGAGTTTGTAATATTGGCATGCGATGGAATTTGGGATGTGATGAGTAGCGAAGAGGTTGTGGAGTTTGTAAGGAGTCGGTTGGCTCACTCACAAAAAAATGGACTAGGAACAGAGAAAGAAAGTATAGTCGAGCCTGAAGACATTTGTGAGGAACTAATGAGCTGCTGTCTAGCACCAGATGCGATAATGGGTACTGGATGTGATAATATGACAGTTGTACTTGTATGTTTCCTTCATGGTAAACCATATTCAGACCTGGTGAGAAGGTGTCAAAGACCTGCAGTGCAAACAGATGCTGCACCCTAAGCACACCTAATGTAATTCACAAATATTTGGTACTGTCCTAAACCTATGTTAGCTGTACGCGCATCATTACCTCGATACCAGATAACTCCTTGCTCTTATATTAATGAATGACAAAAGAGTTCTAGTGATTGATTAATGTCAAGTGTATAAAAACTAATAAATATTTTTATAGCCAAAGTGGAGAATACTTACGAGTCTCGTAATTTTACAAGAACCATCGACGAACAACACTGGCACGGTTGGGTGATGACTGAATGATAGATAATGAAATACTAAAAGACTTAGCTGTTACTCGAAATGAAAAAAAAAATGTCAGGTTGCGCGGCACCTATTATACGTTAGAGGCTTTTATTTACAATCCCGTGTAAACACACGTGGGAAAAGAATGAATGCCTAATAACAACAATAGTAGGTCAAATAAAGTTCCATTTTCAATATCCATATCGATCTTGAATGGAAGAGACAGCTGCATTAGCCAGAGAACTAAGTCTTCCGGCTACCTTGTTAACACCCTGACGTACACTCTCGCGGACGTCATCTAAGTCAACACTTCCAGCCCCACTCGAGCCACCAAGCGACATGGACATCGACGACGAAGATGAGGGTTGCGTTGATGTTCCTGTACCGAAGTAATCAGCCGAGGAAATGCTAGATGATCCTTCGAATCGACGCAAATTGCTCTTACGTTCCCACTGTTAATAATATAATAGAAATGAAGATTATAATCCTATAACGTTTTTACCTGATACAACGATGATGATCATGATACTCACGGAATCGTCACCACTGGAATCACGGAAGTACTGATCAGAACTAATGGCCTTTGCGCTTCCAAATTTCTTTTGAGCTTCACCCTCAGCCGTTTTATTACTCTCGGCTTTGCTATTATTAGAACGTGGTACCGTTCGTCTTGGAACGTCTGGTTCGGCCACGATGACGATTTCTTCAGCACGTGATGATTTGCTATTGGAATTACTGGAATATTGATTCGAGAAAGATGTATAAAACTCTTCGAATCCACCCATGACACAATCTGGTTCAGCATAGATTTCCCTTGATCTGGGTTCAGCGGCGGTGATTGTCTTGTTAGAAGATTCTTGAGTTATTGTACGCATGTCACCAAGTGCTGAATGGCTGGCAGCGCTATAACATGTAACGAATCAATTAATTACAACTTTATCTGTGTTTTTGTTCTAATCTATTCTGAATAAATAATTGCGAGTTTTACCTGCGAGCATTGAAACCCATTCCAAGACGTTCAGCTTGACTAGCTTTGGTCGGGTCTAGTTGCTTAGTTCGCTCTTCTACTTTCTTGGCCTGCAATGTTAGATTCTGCTCGTAACGATACGCCAGTCGAGTGTCAATAGCATCTTGCTCTTCTTGTGCTCTCTCTTGATCTTCTTTCTCTCGAGATTCGCGACTCGCCTCAGTTACGCTTCTTTCCAACTCGTCGAAATTTGTTTTCACACGCTGAGCGCCCATGCCACTTGTTTTCTTCCCACCCATCTGTTACAAAAACATATCGTTTAATATCCACACATGTATATTTATCTGTATCACTGGGATTAATAAAAACTTACCCCTGATCTTTTTGGTTGAACTTTCCTAATACCAATTGTAGGTTTTCTGTCCGACTGGGAACTCACACTGCTGTCAAAGAGCTTAACAGTCGGGCCTATTGTGCTTGGAGCTTCGGAAGCATGTGATAAACTGCTTCCAGCGATCTTTTCAGAACTTAGTACAGGATTCGATAAGGGAATCGGTTTTTCTACTATAGGTGCTGTAGATTCGTTTGATGACAACTCAAAATTTTCATGCTCTTTGAAAAAGTCAACCTCAGGTGATTCAATGGTTTGTTCTTCTGCATCTTGTTCTAAATGTAACTGTTAAAATAGTAAAAGGTAACTGTTTAATAATTGTGCATACGAAAATATTATATCACGCAAAAGTAATTAGAAAATCAAATTTCTGTTATGAAACTGTGGAAGGAATTAACATGTTGAATGATACTTCATTTTGGTAAAATAGTTACCAAAGTGGCAGATTATAAAAATATGTACATCAGGAATATGATTCAACATACATTGATCACTTCATAGACATTACATTTTTATAAGACATGACGAAGAAGATAAAGCACAGAAAATAAGAAAGTTCTCGGGATAGCTGCGAGCATCATATGATAGGGTTAAGAGTATAAAAGTAAATGAAGTTAAAGAAACAAAAGAGATCAGTTAGTGATCAGTGAACAAATATTCACGGCTCACCAAAACTTTTTTCTCAGGTAAGGGAAGAAGAGCCTAGAATTATTACAGTGACAATTATGTATGTTGTAAAAGATATCATTATTATAATAAAGTAAGATTTAAAAAGTTTTACCTTTGTGCCATATTTTCTCATTGCCTGGGCAGACGCCTGTGTCAATTTTTCCTTGTACAGCATAGCCGCTCGTGATTTATACTTTTGTTGTGCATCAGTTGAAGTACAATTATGTTGCAAAAAGAATTTTCTCTGTAAATCATTTAAATAATGACATTACAATATAATCTCATAATGATACACAATATGTAAAATTACATACAGCATTAGCATTCCCTCCAAGTTGCATATTTCTAAGTTGCAGCCAGGTCCAATTGGTATCTAGTTGTGTAGAGCGTACAAATGTTAAATGTACACCTAAGCTCCGGTGAACAGCTGAGCAATCGATACAAAGGAATACTCCGTAAGTAACACTTGACCATGGTGGATTCTTTGCATTGCAGTCAAAGCATGTCTGGAAAAAATCATACTTGATAAATACTAATGCATATTACTTGAACTTAATGAAATTTTTGCAAAAAGGAAAATCTCAATGTTAAACATTCAGTGATATCAAGAGAACAAGAAAAGGTGTTGATAATACATAAAAACAGAATTATTTTGTATTATGAAATATTTCAATTCGTTAGATCAAAGATGTGTCATTCAAGGAAGAAAAGTTTAACTGCAGTGTTGGTTGGACACAGACATAGTTGAGGTCAGTGAGTTTGGTTAACTACAAGATTTGTACAATATACGCAGAAAATAATAATGCAAGTAATGTAAGTTTAGTATAGCAGACCTTATTCGTAGGAATAGCCCGTAATCTTTTAAAAATCTCCTCAATTTCGGCCCTGCTGGGTGCAGATTCTGCCATTTTTGACGTGTTGTCAATTACTACGTATGGAATCGTAAGCACCTTAATGGCGAGGTCAACATCATGGGCGCTAGTGTCGCCACATAATAATTCAAGAACAAAAAGTTATGCTTCGTTAAAAAAAATCAAGTATAATTAGACAGACCAAATTCTATATTATTTTAAAAGGACTACCTATAGAAAACAATTTATTGTACAGATTATAATTATTACACAAGATCAAAAATTATGACTTATTTTTTTTTCTTATCAACTATAAGTTCTGGCCGTTGTCCAGTATTTGGAGAATCACTCACATTCACTTCCTCTTCTTCGACTTCCAAACTGTTTAATCTGTAATAGAGTAGCGATGTTTATCTGCCAGATGATTCAATAAAAAATTATAAACTTACTCTTCTTGTTCTAAACTATGTAGCATCTGAAAGCCAGCATCCAAATTTGGTGGAAATCCCATTTCAGGATCAAGAAGTTGTAGCGTGGGAACGTCACGATACATATTTCCAAACTCATCCAGTTCCTCAAACTTCAGTTTATTTGCTACTTCATCAAGATCGATTCTGAAACATACAATAAAACCTGAAGATTTTATATTAAGAAACAATACAGTTATCAATAAATTCATACTTGGTACTGTTAGCATTGAGCTCCTGCTGTCTCTGTTTCTCTAACATTCCTTCAACTTTATTCCTCATATTTTCCTCAACTTTCAAAACATTTTCTTGATAATAGTCATGCAACGCTACTACACCACCAACTCCAGCTTCCACCAGAACTCTTTCAACTGGATCAGGAAAACCATCCTCTTTCTGTTCTGATGCCACTTTTAATAATAATGCCATCCTTCTTAAAAAATGATCAGCCACATCTGTAAGTGTCTCTATGGCTATTTCCGATGAACTATCTAATCCAGTATGGGCCAATAGAACTATAACTGCATGTTTTAGCAAGCTATGCGCTGTTGATGGCCTCAAATTTTTTACAGATATATAATCCTTGAACTGTGGGCTACAGAGACATGATTATTAAAGACACATGATTCACAATGTAGAATATATTTTTTTTTAAATAATCTTACCCCTCTGTACTTGGAGGTAAAAAATGAAATGGATTTTCAGCTTCTTTAGTATCTGTAGAATTCTCTGTCTCAATAGTTCCCAAATTCCCTAACATCGTTCCATCTTCCTGTAAACAAAAATGATGATTAACACTAACAAGAGTACATTAAAATCATATCGGCAGAACATTATTTATCCTTACCATGGCTCTCATATGCTGGTGGAGATTTATAGTATTTAATACATGTAAATTACCCATTGGCAACCTACATTAACATTTAAAATGTTACAGACAATTGAAAAGAATAATATTAACGTTATTGCTAAAGTACTTACTGGTACAGATATTGTTACCTGCTGCAGTACTTACTGTATAAACTCGGACTGCTTATCAATTCTATAGTCACAATCAGTACTGTTATTGTCATCCATAACTTGTCTCCAAACATTTTCAATGATATCAGGAGTAATAACTTCTTGCTTGTGAGTTTCTCTTGGAGGCAATTCACCCCATAAGGTGCAAGTAGCAGATCCCTTGCTGGATTTCATCCTAAACTTTCTTGTTATCTGAGTATTTTATACAGAAGTACCTATATCGAATTACTATACAGTCGAGACTGAAAACCATCATACATACTTGAAAGTACAGTACTATGAAAGTACAGTCAATTTGCCGCCACAAGCGTCGCTGTGTCAAATCAAGATGTGACAATCCTCCTGAACTCTCCTGAACTTAAAAATATTTCGTAAGTTGTACACAGTCTTTAATAATTGCAAGCTATTCTTTGAAAAATGGAACGTTTATGGAACGTCGTAACTGTCACAATTTTATTGTGAAAGTTTATATGTATGTATAGCAACAAACGCTTGATCAGGTTAGAACTAAATGCAAAAGTATCATGCAACAGTATTGCATATAGTTATAAGTGACGTACGCGCCATCTAAAATGAAAGAGGAAGTAGTGAATGTTTGTATGTACACCCGCTATTGGAATGTTTGATTTAAAGAGAATATAGAACTATCTGATTTTTAGAATATTTAAAGAAATGGAAAGCTCAGCAGCATCAGTTTTACAGCGTGCAGTTGAGATGGATAAGAAGGAGGAATACACAATGGCTCTGGTACTTTATCAAGAAGGACTGCAGGCTCTAGTCAATTCTATAAAAGGTATCAGAGATTCCAGGTACACATTACGATGTTCATCATGATTGTTCAAAAGAGTTAAACAGTTCTTAAATTGTACAGAAACAAAGGATGCTACAAAGAAGAAATACTTTCATGGAAAAGCTTCAGAGTACATGGATAGGGCTGAGAAAATTAAGACCCTTGTCGAAGAGAGAAAAGCTATAGGAAATTATAGAGAACATAAGAAGGTTGAAGATGGTTCAACAGGAAATAGCTATGCTACTCTTTTTGGACGATTTTTGGATGAGACTGTCACTCATATACAGATTGAGGATCCGTATATAAGACTCCCTCACCAGGTTTGCAAAATTTTATTTATCTTATGACACTAATCGCACATTCTATAATAGGCTTACATTATTTATTGTTTCTAGTGTCAGAATTTGGTCAGACTCTGTGAACTGGCTGTGCAGATGTGCAAATCACTTTCAAGAGTAACACTAATAACAACTCGTCATCCTGATGATGCAAAGAATCAATTAGCAAGACTCATGGAACTGAAGGGAAATATGCAATCTCGTTTGATTACATTTGAATTTTCCTTCTCCGACACTTTACACGATCGGAAGATTACGTATGTTCTCTTTAAGATTTGTTATTTAAAATAACTGAATTGATATAATTATTTTTGTACTATTTCAGCCTGAGCAATGGATGGGTTATAAAAATAGGACGAGGATTAGATTATTTCAAACCACCAGGAGGAAAATTCGTTCTGGGGGCTTTTGACATGGAACTAAGGTCTTGCTTAGAAACGGCAGTAGATATCTATTACTTTCCCACTCTAGCTGGTAAACAATAGTATTTTTCAGTAGAAATTACTCCATTTTAAAGCGAAATCATGATGAACAAATTGTGTATAAAATCACTATGAACATTTATTGTGATAATTTTAACGCGGTTAATTATTTCTAAGTGATATGTCATAAATATATATTGATCACAATTATTATGTAGCGATAAGATGATCGTGTGATGATTTTACACCAGTAAAATATTTTTTATACAAAATATAAATTTATAAATTTTTATATAAAAAAATGCTGTGATACATTTTCTTATTCCTTGTGTCTCGTCTATATTAGCCAATACTATAATCGCACGCTTTGGCAAAGTCAATTTGCTTGGCTGCTTTTTTACAAGCCATCCTCAGAGACTTTGTATATTTGAGTAAACCCGCCTCTTCATCGTCCGCATCAAGGATATGATTCTTCTTATACGAGGGAAGACAATCCGCACCTCCTACAGCGACGACCTGTCTAGCAATTTCCGGATCCACACAGAGTCTGGTCAAAGCAGCGGCAGCAGTCACTTCCAATCTTTGATAAGCATCCTCGAGACCTGGAGGTCGCATTCTCAAGAAACAGACGAGAGCGACGGAAGCTCGAGCTCTAGCTAAATGAGCGCGGGTTTCCGGTATTCTTGCGAGTTCACCAATCAGTGACGCGACTTGTTCCATCAGCCAAACGTTACCACCTGCGGATTTTTTTACGCACTTCAAAAGTGTACGCACTGTATCATGTTCCAAAATAGGCGCTATGCACTTCCTGGATTTGGATAAATGATGTAAAGCTGCTGCTGCCAAAAGAAGAGTTTGTCCGCAGGACGTATTCTCAGCCAGCCGTGTCAGAGATTGCACCAGAGTATCCTTGAATGGTTCTAGATGTGGAAGACCTATGGCCTTTATCCAAGGCGCAGTGACTTGTACGACTAGAGCTGCAGCCTCCATTTTCTCAGTTTCCGGTGATGACTCAGCTGCAAGAAGATCCACCAGGATCTCAGGACCGCCATCTCGGGCAAACCATTCGATAGCTGTTGGACAGCAGCATACACTGGCTAGGGCTCTCAAGGATGCACTTCTTAAGTCGCTGGATAGACGTCCTGCCGATAGAAGAGAAGTAAGGAGGGCTCTTACTCCGGAACAGCGGGCTATGCTGCTTCCTGCTCGTGATCCTGCCAATCCTAAGGCCGTCAATGCAGCCAGTGCGCCACGCGCTGCGCTGCCTCCTTCTCGAGGAGCTTCCTCTAGGCCACGCACTACTCTCTGCAAATGGATAAATTTATTCCATGTCAAGAATAACGTTTCAAAGCCTTAGTTATCCAATAACCACCTCTATATAGAAGTCTAGTCTCGTATCTAACGCTTTGTCCACGTCGTTCCTCAAACTTTCCAACTGGGCGATTATTGTCCGCAGACTGCTAGGTTGTATTCTTCTCGGAGGAGGTGCCCCGAGCTCAGAAAGTACCCGAAAAGCATGTTCTTCAATGGATCTGAGAAGTTCCCGTTCGGATTTAGCATTCTCTAGATGCGTCACTTTACTAAAATAAAGAACATTCGATAATCAGTAGTTCCTTCCTTACTCGCCTGTCCACAAGCTTGTCACCATAAAAATATACATACTCAACCACCAGCTCATAATGCCGATCAAATTTTTCCGCCTTGACAAGAAGTCTCGTTGCTGCGGCAGTCGCCGAGGATGTAAGCAACCTCAGATCTCTGGTCTGCAGCTCCTCGGATAACGGTTCCTGCAGTTGTCTCCTAGGGAGTGCCTTGCTCTGAAGAGTAGCCGTGCACTCACCCTCGGTTTCCATAGCAAGATCACCCAGCCAAGCCCTGACAGCATTCAGCTGTCTAAAACTACCAGTATCCTCCAAAGTCCTCGCCAAAGATTCAACCCTCGTAGAAGCATCTTCTTCGTGGCTGTGTCCAGCCGAAGAGTCACAACTCCTCGCAATCCCTCCAGTAACATCAGCATCCTCAGGTGGTTCAGCGGCGTATAAAAATTCACCAAGACATTCCTCGACAAGGGAAGACACAGAAATATCACCGGAAGTGTCACGTCCACCAGCATCGTCAGTTCTAAAAGATCAAAAAGTTCAGTTAAAATTCAAAAATCCCATAAAATATTCTCATACAGATTACAATAGTTTACGAACCTCAAACGAACCATACTAATTTCTACTACATTCAACTACATGTCATTCCTCTGATTTCCCGGGGCTGAATGAAACTCTTAGACTACCAGCTGCCGCATACTTGGAGTTCTCCACGAAAAAAAATGCAATCACACGACTTAACAACTACACGCAGTCCATTACAGGTACAACGCTAGCACACGCGAGCTGACTAATCGAACCAGTCCGGATGTATCATTAATCCTAGGTGACTAATCCAAGAACTCCGAGTTTGTGGTGCAGCCGCGCACTGCCTCAAAATTCTTTCTACATTCGCTGGCGAAGAACGTGAATCGCTGCCCAGCAGCCGCTACTGCTTCGCTAACGCAACTGCGATCCTTGTCTCCTTCTTCGATCCACCAGCTACAGACTTTCTTATACCACGCTGTATTCCTAAGATACCTAGTGCTGCCTGATGCGTTCCTCTTACATTGACTCACGTACCCGAACAGACTGAACACGCCAAGCTGAATACATCAAGTGTAATTAGAATAAAAAAATATTATTAATTCAATTAGGCAGTACTCATGCTCGAAGAATGCATTTGAAATGTCAGACGAGACTCAGTATATCAATACCGTAATTCGTAACCAACTTACTTCATTTGGTGCACTCGGTACGTGGATTACAATAATATATATGCTAGTGGATACGTCTCCTTACGAATGGAACTCCCTGTATTGAAGCATTGTCTCCTTGCGTCGTTTAGAATACTAATGCATCGATGTACGGATATAAGCTTACGGTTTGGGCTGCGATAAAAATGCCAAGCGGCACTTTGTATTTCGTTACTATTGATTGGTCGTATATGGACATGCAGACCGCTGACACATATAACCTTTTAACTGTTGAAAACTGATAGTTTGGAAAACATTAGGAAATTCGGTTAAAATTGAATAACTCGTTGTTATCCGACCGTTATCATTAGATTTTTCAGTTTGTTCAAGCATTGGACGATAAGCTATGATGTATATACTATTTTGTGTCATTGCAATGGACAATATAAAGTCTGACGGTGTTCAATTTGTCATACTGTAAATGTGTCAGCAGCGTTACGTTTTAATACAAAAAGAAATAACAACGGAAGAGCCTTACGCGACGCATTCCTATCGCTTGGCTCATATTTTCGTCGCAATGAGTTATCGCAAGGCGCATTCTCTGCGTACAGTTACAGTCGTAATAACAGATACGGCTCCCACCTTTCTTACGAGCAAAGCAAATTCTATAATTGGCTATTAAATATTTTCCGATTTGATAAACATGAAAAAGGAGAAAGACCATCCCAGAGAATAACATTTCGGTCTTGGGTGCATGTTTAACATCTGCCAATTATATTTAAGGGTATACTCACTGATTAAAACAGAGCGGATTAAGCCGAGGTCGAATTCTACAAGCTAGAGAATCATTTTTAATCCTTAAGGATGACTGCTTAGGTGTGGATGTGTGTGCAGGATGCGGTGGTACTTCATTGTCCTTCCAGGGCGACTCCAGCCGCTTAGGATATACTCGTTTGCTGCGTCTTCTATCCCGGGGTCTGTTGGTTCGCCTTCTTCTGGGAGTACTATTTCCGCAGATACCGGGACTCTCGGATCTCTCCGAGTCGGAGAAACCAGAGTCCTGACTCCGATGACCATGACTGTTAGGACTGTAGGATCTGTCCTGGGATACAACTTCTTCGTGAGGTTCCTGTGCCACTGCTCCTGAACACGACGTCTCGTCCGAGCTCGTTTTACTCCTGATAAAGGAAATAATTCTTAATTGATTATTTAAATAATTATTTTTAAAACTCACATTGGTAGCCCATCCATATCCTTGTCCATCTGAGGTGACGGAGTCCTAATATCCGGTTGCTGCTTGGAATCCTCTTCACCAATCCTGATTGTAGTGATATTGCCTGTTCGGTGCAATCCATCAGTTGAATCGTATCCACGTAAACTTTCTTCACCGTCATCAGCTGTCGCATTCAGATTGCAATAAAAACTAGGAAGTGATCTAGGCTGGTCCACATCTCTATGTGGAAAAGGAGTCTGTCCCACATCCTGAGAAGCCATGTAACTCCAAAACACTTTACTTTGATGTCTTTTAAAACCACTCATCTTGAGGCTTGCTCTATATTTTAATTAAAAAATTCAATTAACAGGTTTCACGCACAGGAATGACACTTCAAAGCGAAACCAAGTTCCCGGTAGCGAAACTCCAAAGTAATGGAAGAAGAGTCTACACGAAGTTTAATAAGCAGAGTTCACTGGGGTGTTCATCACTGTTCACTAGAGCACAACGACCCACGTACCGGTCGCGTGGCGTAGGCGCCTTATGGTATCCGTAGCCCCACTACCAACCCCCATGCGAGTAATACATTATCAACCCCCTCGAAACCACCAGAAGAAATTCAAAACATCCCGACTTTATATCGTCTTGAAGTTCAGCGCGCGACTGACTTGACGGGACTTCCGACTTTCCGGGAGGAGGAGTTGACCGTATCCCTTCCCTATCGGAAAGACGACCTATCACTCCTGGTCGCCCCTTTCCCCAGCCAGGTGTCGCGTCGTATAAGCCAAGTCCCATGAAAATGTGACCCCCCGTTCAACCCCCATAGTATTGAAGTCGTATAGGCATCCTGAAGGTTTGGCATGTGCTCACCATGTGTAACCGACAAACCGTACCCTCTGTACTATATATGGGAATATGTTCACCATATAGAGAGTCACCATTTATTGAATGGGACCCTAGAGCGGGTTCCACAGTGGCGTATTCGTCACCCCCCATTTGCATTTCCATGGGGGAGGATACAATAGTGTAGAATCATCATGGAAATCACGCCAATGGTGTTTGAGTGCCAGGTGTGGCTCCCGTTTCCCCATAAGGGGTCGGTTTTTTTATCTTCCCCACCGTGGAACCCTCTTTGCACCCCTAGGCATTGGGGCACGCGCCACTGGGAGCATCTGCGAGCATAACTATGTACTTCGTCCATGTGGGGTGTAGGAATATACATGCCTTCGTACGATATCATCTCTTCGGTTTTTCATTGGCTTGGATCTGGATTGATGCTGATCCGTAACATGTATAAATGCTGAAAGCATAATAAAACATTTTATAATGCGTTGAACTTTGCAAAATTTCAAGGCTAATTGCTTAAAATGCCTATCTAGTATTAGAAAAATTAAAGGTAATCTAACAGAATGTGAAAACCTGTACAACTTTTATTGTGTACGACCCATTACATTATTTAATGTATTCAATTCATTAGCAGTTGGGCTTTCATAAGACTGAATGCGTCTCCTGATATATATAGATAAGCCCGTACATACTTTTACACTATTTTTAAAGAATTTTAAAAGCCTATAAGAAAAAAATGTATATATATATAAGCTTTGAGCCGGAAGGGGTCCGTCGTAGGACCCCTATTGTCCCTGGATGAACGTAATGGGGGACAGCTGTAATAGACCGTTAGAGAGTAGACAGTATATATCGATAGGTCTGTCCTTCTTTTAAATATAACTCGTAGCACCAAAAGCAATTCTATTGTGCATTCACTTCTTTTCTCTTCAAAGAAACAACAGAGCGCCATATTTAAATACAAGTTGGCATTGGGCTTTAAATCTACATTACATGGTGTACTTTGATAAAAGGTTTTTACTTCAGTCCTCTGAGCAAATGCCAAAGCCAACTGAGTTTGGTATCGATCAGTTTTCTTACAAATTAATTAACGAATTCCTAAACATAACGAATTTCCCATAATTAAACCACATAACTTTTAAACCAGCTACAATTTTTCAGGAATAAAGTAATCCCTTTCTAAAGCGACCTACTAATCCTGGCTGTCAAAAACAGCATATTTACATATATCACCCGACTAATCATCATCGCGAAAAAATTACAACACTCCTTACATAAATTTTTCTGTAGTGAGGAAGGAAGAAGAAGCATGTATTTCGATATCTACAGCCTTCTTATTTACTTCCTGAGTGCCGGAAATACACTTCTGCGAGGTACGAGTAATGGATGTACCTTGAAGAGTATAAGAAATCGCATTGTCCATGAAAAATACAAGGTTTTGTACGCGCACGATATGCGGTATGCTAATTCAACAGAAGGCGTCATTTTATGATTCATCGATGTAACCCACAATAAGCCATTCTTAATAAAGCATCACCTGTCAAAGTAAAGAAAGTTTTAAGCAGGTATTTAAATAAATATAATCTATAGATACCCGTGAGAAGGATAACAGGATGTCGGAAATTGTAAAGGATATGATAAGAATTATTCGTTGCAATCAAAGCATATAGTCCTGCGTTATCGCACAGGATTTATAGTGCCTTTCGGTGCGGCAGGTGATTGTTGTTGAAATAAGTCATTGTACTAGCACTATTTTTTAAATAGTATTATAGTACATTTTAGAGAATCAAACAATTCATGTTATACGTACTGGCAGATAAGCTTTTGATTTCCTTAAAAGGAATCGAATTGGAATCGCGTGTCTTGAACAACGCGTGGGCAAGTAGACCCCAAGTCTGTCGCATGATTGGCGTAAAAGAATATTCTAGTATTTTATGCTACCAGATAGACAGCTCTGATGTTAATTTCGTCGGTTAGATCTTGTTACGGAATTGGCTCGTATTGATCACGTCCAGTTGGTAGACCAATGGAAAAAGTGAACTGGAGAATTATGTGGGTTGTGGAGAAGACTTTAAGGGTATGATCCGACTTCCAGCGCCTCCTACAAGACCAGCGAGTGTGAGGCCTTGCGGTATTCGTTTCGTTTGGAAGAATACGTATCCCGGCATTGCTTTGTGAATTGTATTTTTCTGCGACGAATTAAAATGGTAACACACAGTGATTTGTTTAATGTACTTTATAAGGCTGAAAGTTCTACTGGTAGTATCTGTATTCAGTTATTATTTCTGTGTGAAGAGAATCTTTTAGTGGAAGATTATAAATTTTACAGAATGAGGTGACAAATGGCGCACGTGTGTCTCTTGGAGCAGGAGCCACTCCTCAAACAGATTTGAGAATTATTTTATAATGAATTTAGATGTAAATATAGTTCAACGATATATCCAGAGAATTTTTTGTCTTGATACTATATCCTATGATTAAGAAATTCATGCGCTCCATTTTTCGTTAATGTTATTGTTTATGTGAGACTTCCATGGGTTTCTAGAAACAATAACTTATGCTTACTCATAGAAATCTGTTTTTCTTAGGTGTCTTTAAATCCTGTGAGGATCCTCAAGCATGAAGCTGAAGAGGAGAAGGCTGAAATTGCCAGGTTGAGTTTGTTTGTGGGTGCCATTGCTATTGGAGATTTGGTAAAATCTACCCTTGGTCCCAAGGGTATGGATAAGATCCTGGTTTCCCATGGACATTCTGCTGGGCAGGTTCAGGTAACCAATGATGGTGCCACCATTCTAAAGAGCGTAGGAGTTGACAATCCTGCTGCCAAGATTCTGGTAGATATGTCCAAAGTTCAAGATGATGAAGTTGGCGATGGTACAACTTCCGTAACTGTCTTAGCTTCTGAATTGCTGAAAGAAGCAGAAAAATTAATTGAGCAAAAGATACATCCCCAAACTATCATTACTGGATGGAGGCAAGCCACTGCAGTTGCTCGCACAGCTTTGCATAATACAACAGCTGATAATTCTGCCGATCCTGAACGCTTCAGGGAAGATCTGTTGAACATCGCTAGGACTACACTCAGTTCTAAGATCCTCTCACAGCACAAAGAGCATTTCAGCAAGCTTGCTGTCGATGCTGTCTTGCGTTTAAAGGGCTCTGGAAACTTGTCAGCTATTCAGATAATTAAGAAACGAGGTGCTACTTTAGCAGATTCTTTCCTGGACGAAGGATTTTTATTAGATAAGAAACCAGGAGTTCATCAACCACAGAGAATCACTGATGCTCGCATTCTTATTGCTAACACTCCCATGGACACTGATAAAATTAAGGTTAATTTTTGAATACTATAATAAGTAATGATAATACAATGGACATCAAATAAAATAAAATTTTCTTCAATAGGTATTCGGGTCAAGAGTTCGCGTAGACTCAATGGCGAAAGTCGCTGAATTGGAAACAGCTGAGAAAGAAAAAATGAAGGATAAGGTGGACAAGATTATAAAACACAACTGCAATGTATTTATCAACAGGCAGCTGATCTACAACTACCCCGAACAACTATTCGCAGACGCAGGAATTATGGCGATCGAACATGCCGACTTTGACGGAATTGAGCGACTTGCCCTTGTTACCGGGGGTGAAATCGTCAGCACGTTTGAACATCCCGAGATGGTCAAATTGGGAAAATGTGATGTGATCGAACAGGTATGTAAATTTCTATACTCGACAACTCAATATAATAAAAACAATGTTAATGGCATTAAATTTCAGATCATGATCGGCGAAGATACGCTCTTACGTTTCTCAGGTGTACCTCTCGGAGAAGCTTGCACCGTCATTATCCGCGGAGCTACTCAACAGATTCTAGACGAAGCCGAACGATCTCTGCACGACGCACTTTGCGTATTGGCAGCCACCGTACGCGAATCACGCATTGTCTACGGAGGTGGTTGTAGCGAGATGGCAATGGCTGGTGCCGTTATGAAAGCTGCAGCCGCTACTCCCGGCAAGGAAGCTGTTGCCATGGAAGCTTTCGCCAGAGCTCTTCAACAGTTACCCACTGTCATCGCCGATAACGCTGGATACGATTCCGCACAGTTGGTGAGCGAACTAAGAGCTGCTCACAATTCTGGTTCCACCACTGCTGGTCTAGGTAAATATATCAATCGTTTCTATTATTTTCCTTCTCTTTAAAATACATTGATGGTCAATAATCGATTTCGTTTTCATCATAGATATGGATGCGGGTAAAGTAGGCTGCATGAAGAAGTTGGGCATCACGGAATCTTGGGCCGTCAAGAGGCAGGTACTTCTCAGTGCAGCTGAAGCCGCTGAAATGATTCTTCGCGTAGACGATATTCTACGTGCTGCACCTAGGAAGCGAGTAACGGACCGTGGACGCTGTTAATTCTTAAATTTCCATTATTTACTTCCATCAAATTCGTTTCCGTTTATCCAGCTTCTCATTCATACTATTGCACCGACTTCGATGGAACGCGTTTGGAATTATATATATATTTCTTATTGTACGCCTAGTATTTGACAGATTATTTCATCCGCGTTTTAACGTTCTATTTGAAACAAGTAATGTGACAGAACGTTAATTAAATAAGCACGCATTCTTGTGGTTAGCATTTTTTATAACAATACAATAGCATTACTATTAATAAATAAATGCCTCAACCAATGTCACGGATCGCATTGTTATTTTGTATTATAATACAGAACTATTTAATTATATTCCATAAGGTATGAGAGTTATAGAATTTAGCTCTACTTCATAAATATGGAATAATTTAAAAAGTAATATTTATATTGACAACAGGTTTTCAACAATCTACCGATTTCGTATAGAGAAAACCAAGCGGGCTTCATTTTGAACTGTGATTGATTAGTAATTGCACGGATTAATATGCAAATCGAAGTTTTTGATCGTATCCTGCTTTATCCAGACTAGGATTGCAGGCGTAATTAATCATAGGTGGTGGACCACACATCAATACAATGGTGTCTGGTGATGGAGGATACATATGCTCGGAGATCATCTCAGCATTTATATATCCAGTACTGTATGGCCAATCCTTGCTACTTGTATCAACGGTATACCAGATTTTCACTTGTTCACTATGTTTCTTAGAGATTTCATCAAGTTCGTTCCTTAACAGTATGTCTTTCTCAGTCTGATTAGCGAATAGTAAAGATACTTTAGTATGGTCTTCAGGCTCTTTGATCATTTTTCGAATAAGCTGTAGCATAGGCGTGATGCCAGTTCCTCCGGCAATCATTACCACCTGGAGAAGTTTGACGAAATATAACATCTACCAACTGATTAATAAATATAAAACTTACGTATTTCACAGTGTACTCGTTAGGAGGTTCCTTCCTCAGGAGCTTGATGGAAAATTTGCCATTTCCATTATAGACCAGACGTCCAGAGGGCCCTCGGAAGTCGACCGTTTCACCAATTTTAAGACTTTCAAGATGCTGAGACATTTTTCCACCTTCAGGGAACTTTGGGTGAACATTCTTAAAGTATATCTGAAAATTGATAGAATGCATAAATTAATGTGGTTAAATGTTTTTACTGAGCAGTATTTCAATAATTACCTTGATGACCAAGTCCACGTAGCCATAATCATCGTCACTGGAAACTGGTGTGTAAGCACGTATCACAACTTCATCTCCAACTTTAGCTGTGAGATGAACATGCTGTCCAGTCGGAAGACCCAGAATGTGTTCGGGAGTAGGCAAACCAAACCGAAACCTTCTAGTGTCATGACTAATAATCTCTTTTTCGATTAATGGTAAACTATATTTGACAACTGGATCCACCAGCAAAATTGGATGTTTCTTCTTTCCATTTTTATATGATTGATAAAGCTTGATAACCAAACCAGTAGCTAAAACAGTTCCAACTGCAGCCAAAAGTGGCAGTATCTAAAGGAAAGAAATGAAATAAAATTAGAATTAACTTCATTTATGACACCGTACAAAACCATCACTAGTATTGTTATTTATCACAGTAATTAAAGTTAAACTCTTATACTACAAAAAGAATTGCCAATACCCAAAACATCATCATCAAATAGTAAATCGTTCAACTAAATACTCGTAACTTCACGACTTACAGTATGAGAACATTGTGATAAGAATTACGTTAAAAAAACCATGTATGTACGACTATCAGTAACGATCCACGAGGTTATATAAATTACAAAAAGAAACAGGCGATAATACTGACTATGAGTATATCCAACAAACCATTTCAGATATTTAATCACATGCACGAAAACTGATCAGATAGTACTTAACATGTCCAAAGAAAAAAAGAGTTTTACAAGCCCATTTTTTATTTACCAGCGCTCGTGGATTTAACATGAGGTCCTGCTAGCTCGCTGGCACGTGGTTAGCGAATCTAAAGAATGTGTCAAGAGCAGCAGGTTCTTAAAATCACAGATTGAGCATGAAAAATGTAAAGATCACCGGTTTTCAAGAGTAAAGTCCTGTATATGAAAAGATTCAATAAACAACCGAATATTCAAGAGAATTATAATGTAATTAAGAACAGAAGCAGAGATAATGATACGACGCTAAAGATAAGAGGAGTATTTTCTGCGGAATTCAATAACTGACCATGCGATAGAAAGTTCAAGGAGGAAGAAAAGTTAAACGTACGTGTCGCGAGATACCTTGAGATAATAAACCGGCAAAGCTAAACCTAAAAGTACAATACCAGAGCGCTTCCTTTAAAATAGACCAGGTTCACTCGTGAACCCGATCTAAGAACGGTAGATTCTATTTATAAATGGAGACGTATGTTCTGGGAGTAATAGCATAGGAGAAGAACAAATATCTTTATACGTACTGCCGATGATGAACTCTCCTCTACTGTAGAAGACATCTCAAGTACGCATATACTACATGCACGAATACTAAACAAATAAAATACTAATTTGGAATGAATGGAATTTTCAAGGTACAGTTTCTTTTAGCACAGCCTCATTGGTCCTCACGTGATCCTAGTGTATCACAAACTGAGTGGAGCACTACGAATTCTTCGCATAATATTCAAATGATAGCTATAAAATACTGGTTATATGATATTGAATGTAAATAATTGTTCTTCGTGTTTAAAACTTTACGTGCCTTATTATTTTGTGACTCAATCACTCTGTCATTATCGATTGTCACAGAATTTAAGATAGATAATACTGTCATTCCTCCTGTATTATCATGAAATTTGTAATAACGCCAACATGTTTCTTAATCAGATGAAAGATATGATATTAGCTTATAGTACTAGAGTACTATAATATATACTAGAGTACAGTACTAGAAACTATTCTTAGTGAGGACACATTTTAAACGCGAGATTAGCATACTCCCAAAGGTGTAATTTTTAGTAGTTTCAAAATTCAAGAATAGACTGCAAGTTGAGGTTCGAAAAAGTAAAAAGTGTTTTTGAAAGTGGCCCTATCGCAATTTGATCTGTATCAGCCTCCGAGATACAGCTGATTTTCAAAATACATTCGGAATCATTTTAACGTAAAAAGTTCAGTGGTTGTCATAGAGATGCTGCCACTTATCACGTGTGGAGAACAAGTGGATTGTCGTATTTACCGACCGAGCCAAGGCAACCCTGTGGAATAGGAGATTCGAAAATTCGGAAAAATAAATATAGAAAAAAGAAAAAAGTTAGAAATGGACAAGAGGGGTGCTTTTAAGAGACCAGTATAGGAGATCGGCTCGAGGAAGAATGAGCGCTACGAATTAATTCATTAAGAAAATCATACGAGAATCTGCTCGGTTATTTGGAAAAGCAATAAAAAAAATATTTTAGTTTTAATGAATATTTTATGATCCTTACATAAAAGCAACGGAGCAATTAGGAACACATAACTTGTTGATCAAGTGGGTGGTTTATACTTGCGGCTGATGGTAATGTACGTACATAGGACCATCACATCATCTCTTGGCAGTGAATGGTAGCTAATGATTATTCACATGCAAGGAAGTAAAAGAAAATATTAAAAGGAAATGAAGTTACATTGTGGCAGAGTGGAATGTGCGTTCTTTTGATTTTCTGAATATTTAACATTTCAAGTGTCAAATGGCTGTTTTGCACCGAGCTTTGTTCACGTGGTTTAATCTTCTCATTTTCCTGATCCTACTGGTGTTGCGCTTAGATTTGAGAATACAGTGGAACTGGTTTATTGTCTTCATTCCTATGTGGCTCTATGACAATATACTCCTGATTTATATTGTATTTAATATGATATCACATTGCAAAAATGGACACGACAGAGCCAGCAGTTTGAGAAGAAAAGTAATTTTATTTATTCACTCTTCTTACCTCATATTATATCGTTACTTATTTCTTTGATACTCAGATTATAGGTCATAGGCTATATGGTATATAAATATTATTGTTTCAGGTTTGGTACATGGCAGCTGTCTTAATGAAACTCAGTGCTCAGATATTAATTTGTTTGAAATTGGAAGCACCGCATTGGAATCTACCTGCCAAAGCTGTGCTTGCTCCTTTTTGGCTACTTCTGCCTGCTTTGGCTGTAGATATTTTTGTACACCTGATACATCATTCGAAGTATTGACCATGGGTTATCCAAAATCTATGATATTGCAACCAACTAAATCTACATCTTATGAAAAATTGATTTACAACGGCATAGCTACATAAAATATTAAATGAAAATTTGAGCTTGTTAAATTCCACAGTCATATGCTTCTCATACATTTCTTGCAATATGCATAGTGTAAAATGTTGAAGAGCACTTGTGGCTTTGTCAATTGAAATGACAATAGTGAAAATAGTAACAATAAGACAAAAGTACTACGTAACATTGCATATGAGACTTTTTGAATAAAACAGACTAGCATTATGCAAATAAAATGGGAAACATTCAGAGAGAAGGAATCCTTCAGTAGCTTCTCTCTTTCCTCCAAGAGAATAACGCTAATGATATACGAAATACTATTACGTAATGAAAGGTTTGAGAAGCCTAGGAAATCATTTTCATCAAGTACCCACTGAGAACGGTCGTCTACTCCGCAGACGTCAATATTTTTGAAAGCGATTTCGGGTTTGTTTTGTCTGAAGTTGGCCTGTGGAAGACGTTGTGGTCACAAGACGGGCGATTGGCTCACTATAAATATACACGTTACTCCAAGGATGATAGAGCCTAGATATAAATAAGCACCACTAAGTTGTTCATTGGCAAAAGAATTCTCATCAGTGCAGAACAGCGATTTTCAATAGTGCAATTGGTCTGATATTGGATTAATTAATTAACGGAACTTATTATGCAATGTGAAAGAAACACACTGTGATAAACATCATCAGTCGTCAATCATCGGGAAGCCTTAAAATAATTTGTGAATAATTCCAAATTGATTACACAATACTACCCGATGGCGATCTTCCCGTTATTTTCATTGTATATGGGGTAATTGTTACGCAAATTATTTATCCACGTAAGAACCGGTTTCACAGCATCACCTTTCACAGTCTTCGATTAAAGGAGATACAGTAAGTCAATATTACAATTGGATGAGCAATTTGAAGTATTATCAGTAAATCGTAGAGAGCAGTTCTATTGAAAAGTCGGAAGGTACGAATTGTGTTTAGTGATCGGGCTGTCAATCATTTAACACGGATATAATGAGATTGCTTCTAGTAATCGCACTCGTTAATATTATTTAATGATCATTTGCAGATGAGCACACAATTATTCCTATTCCTTTGTTCAGTACTGATTGCTGGAGTAATAAATTATGCCAATGGAGCTGTTATGGTGCGAGAAGTATCTGCTGGTCATTTGGCAGAACTTCCCTGTTTAAGTAGTGACGATTATCATCGTTTTATGTTCTGGGAATTGAAAGATAATCAACACATCATTAGTCCTGGTAATCCTCACGATTCAGAGAAATACAATTATGAAGTTCTCACTGGAAAACTCTTCATAAGGGTAAATGAACGGGATAGCACATCTTTCTATGAATTTGCAGTAAGTATAGAAAAATTTTTACTTTTTTTCAGGGTGTTTCTACTGCAGAATCTGGCTTCTATAAGTGCGTGTCAAGAGGAATAGCTGATACTTCCGTTATCAAAATTCATGTGGTAGAATTGGTCGTTAGAAAGGATTCAGAAGATGTGTGGGAAAATAATTTTGAGGTAATGAGGATGTTAGAAAAATTATAGAAAGATAGTCTCTACGACGCATCTCACATTTGCAGACAAACTTATTAAGAAGTATGGCTGCAGTGACGGTTATAGTTCTGGCTGTGGCAATTGTACTGTTCATTGTTATAATGAAAAGAAGAAAGAATCATCACTTCTTTGGTAAGTCTCATTCTTCCCATGTTATTATCATATTCGTGACATTATTTAATGATTGTATGTTTGCAGAGATGCAGGAGTCCAGAGAGAACTCACCAGCAAGATATAACCCTAAAGTACAAAACGTACCATCCACGGAAGTTCCAACATCTGTGGAATCCAGAGGAATTGATAACGTCGCGATGGACGTTGACTTTCCCAAGGTTTTCAAACTAATGCAAAAGGAACAAGCCATCCCGTAAGATCGGACATTAGTCATTATAACTTGGTTGTATCCTTGTACTCAGTTATATCTGTCATTTACAGAAAAGATTAGAACTTTATCTTATAGATAGGATTTAGCACTTTGGTGTACAAATTCAAGAGCAGAAATATTATAATTAGTCTTTTGAAAATAAGCAAAACTGCCTGTTAAGGAGAAAAATGTTTTTGTTCCAGTAATGTAAGATTTAGTATAATTAAATTTATCTGATAAGACAAGAAAACGTATTATTCTGCATATTTTGAGAAGACGGGTCTATTATTAACTTAATTGTGAATAAACATCATAGCTTCTATGATTGTGACGTACTGGCAATGCCAGCTGTAGTATCCATCATAGTGTCATCTCCTTCGCCGTCTTCGTCATCTTCCTCCTCTTCCTCATCCTCTGGTTCGACCTCAGTATCCAGGAGGCGGATTTTCCTGTTACTTTCGCTTAAAATTGCTGCGACTTTTCGTGGCCCACTCACGGCCAATCGCCTCGCGGAGATACCGTGGAATGGTCGTGGCCAGGATGCCCCACTTATTAGTTCTCCTAATTCTACTATGACTGTACTTAGCTCACCGAATAATCGTGGATGATTAACTGGCAATTGGATGAGAAAGGACGCGTGGCTGTGCTGATTTAGGAGCAACAGACTTAGGAAGTCCTGGGAGTAAAATTGCAGATCTGTTATCGTTGTTTCGCCTTTGCTGTAAATTCCTGTGAGAAACGATAGGTAATTAATAAAATTAATTGCCAATTATCCAATTTCAATTACCTATGCTGACCTTGTCTATGATCCACGTTGACTACTGCTGCTTGCAGGGACAGCGTTGCTGGTTCTGTGGGATTGTTTATTATTTTGAACAACCTGAGAAGCTTTCGGTCAGTCTTAACAAATGCGATCAGTAAATTTCCTTCGTCTGTGACCATTTGCGATAAGAGTAAAGATTTGGAGGATGGCAGAGTCGTCGTCAGAACAGCGAAGTGCTTCACTAAGCCTTGATAAGCTTCCTTGTAGACTCCTCCAATAGCCTCGACCAATTTGATGTGGGATTGAAGCAGTGAATACGACAGATCCTGTTTGATTATCAGGGGATGATCCTGGAGACATTGATTTTCATCCAGCATGGATGCCCACTCGCTTCCTTCGGGTGTTAAAAAAGTTTGCAACGGCTCCCGACGAAGGTACTGGCCCAATTTCTCCAAATTCACGACTTTTCGTCCACTAGTATTAGATCCTGTCTTGTCAAAGCCTCTCAGAAACTCAGCAATGAATGCCAGTTCCTGTTGACTAACTCTGCTTGCTTCTGAAGGTACTCTCTCATCGATTAGTCTCAGTATAACAACATATAACCATCTGAAAAAAGGTATAATAGTTGATCTTACAATTGGTAATTATTTTTCAGCAATTGGATACGCAGTACCTAAAGAATGCCTTGTAATCTCGCATACTGTGATCTATAACTTGCTGTATTTCTGCAGCTTTAGCGAGAAATGCTTGAGCAGCACGTAAAGCAGTTATTATTGGGGCTTCGTCTTTAAATCCCAAAGCTTCATAGGGCCCACCTAATCTGGCCATTCCTCGCATCTCAGCTAATTGGTATACCAGAGCCATTCCTACACTTGTTAAATGCTTCAATACTAGTTTCTGTAAAATATTTTAAGTTACGTGGCTCTATTTTTGTATTCCATTCATGCTCGTGGTATTTGGTAGAGACCTGTATATTGCTATAGCACATTTCGATGCTGTGTCCTAATTTTTTAAGACCTTTCTCAGTTAAATCTCGCAGTAGGAAGTTTTCTAGACTTTGTGTGGGGATACCGATCATCAGTAATTCTAGAAAATCAGCAGCAACACCTCCAGGGGGTTGTGTTTCAGCATATCGGGCTAGTTTTTCATCCATTTCTAAAAGTATTGTTTCCCATGCCTCCGAAATGGCCATTAAGGTGCGTGAAAGGTAATCCATGAGGTAGTCTATTTTTGCTTGTGCTTGGGCAACCTTTAAGAATGCTCCACTTTTTTCCAGCAATGGACAAGACAAATTTGTCACATCGATACTATTTTCGTCTTTCCAGGATATCCATATAGATTTTCCCAATCCACCAGAAATTTTCAGAATAGGACCCCTGCCTACCTCAATCGTTCCACAGTAGAACATTCCAAAAACATGCATCACAACATTTCCATTATCTTGTCCAAGCTGCAAGAAATTTCTTCATTAAAGATTGACATCTATTGACATAAAGAATAAAATTATTTTTTCAACTCACAAATAACATGTCTAGCGTTTGAGAAAGGAATTCCTTGCGTTCTGGCTCCTGACCAAAGGTTCTATTGAGACTTGGTAAGGGTGGTAAATAATCTTTTGCTGGTGATGAATTGGTTTTATCAGAATTTGGTTTCTCAGTTTCCTGATTGCTCAAGGGTAACCAAGCCATACAAGTAATCGTTCTATCTGCTGATAACTGTGTCTTATGAACTATATTTTTGTTTTCAATATCCACCAGGTGTAACAATCTGGATTCCTTATAGAAAACGGCTAGTAACTTTCCATCCGGCCTCCATGCCAGATTTATTACTGTGTCCGATTCATCCTGAGGACTAAGGAGCCATACCCTTTGCCATGTTAATCTGTGTAGAGCCACTTCTCCTACAAAGGACTTGCTGTCAAATGATAATATTCACTTAACTAAATAACTAAACCATAAATAAAATAATGCAAACCTTTGATATTAGCTATTGCCAATAAGTCCATCTTAGGTGACCAACGCATTATGGTCACCTGAGCAGGAAGCTGTCGCTCCTCTAATTGCCTCATAGTACTAGACATTTTTTTTACAAGACTTTGGATTCTCAAGATTTTATATTACTGATAAAAAACCGTTTTATTGTACAACTTAAAAGTTAACAATACCGGTGCTGACCGACGCCATGCTGTACATACTGTAAACCTGCAATACATTATAGGAAATGTGTCAAGTGATGGCGCCGCCACCAGTGTGTCTAACGTACTATCAGAGTCTTATAGTTTATTCGTGCTAACTTTGTGTCCTACCCCGTCTGACCCCGTCACATCCCAAATATGACACTTGAAGTTGTTGCGTCCAAGAGAAAATTCCCCCTAATTTTCCCGCCAAAATTTATCTATCTATATCGGCCGGCCATTAAATATTGTCACAGTTTTGACATGTGTCACAAAAGTCAACAATAATTCAGAAATGTATGGCCAGCTCAGCTAAAAATTCCATCAGGGGTGTCCGATGCACTATCAGAGCCCTATACGGTCAGAAAGCTAATAAAATAAAAATATCTGATTCTAGCTAAATTAAAAGCAATAAAAGAAACGTCTCAACAATGAATTAATATATACCGCACAAACAATTTTAATTTGGACTATACGACAGCAAAAAGATATATGAAGAAGGCAAATGCACAAAAATCCGACTAATAACACACAAAATATGCAACACCAAAAAAAAAAGTGTAAGTACTTTTACAATTTACAAGAAATCTCGAATTCCTCAAAAGAACGAAACGTATAAGAATCCGCAGGTAACGCGTATAAAGTTCCGTTGAGAAACGGCATCAGAAATGTATATACATACGTATATGACCCCCATAAACGAATTCCTGAGATCATACAAACATTTCGTTTCTCGATATTCCAGTGCAAGTCGTGCATCCACGAACACGCATACACTGCCTATGCCTGCATGGTGTGCCGAGAAAAGTAGCAGAGGCGCCGGTTACGAGAGTGCAGTGCATCGGGGAACGATATCGAGGCCACGTTTCCCGTGTAGTAAGGATAGAGGATAAAGAAGAGGAGACGTCGACGGGAGTGAGGAGGAGAGTTTGTGAAGCACAGAGCGTCGTCGGGACGCGCAAGAAGGAAAGAGTACACAAGGAGTAAAAGAGAGAGTGACGGCAATAATAGTGGGGGAGCGTCGAGACGCCGCTTGACCACGTGACTGCCAGCAGAATCCGCGGCGTCCGCCGAAAATCTAAATCCGTCCGAGCCGAGAAGAAGAGGCTGCCCGTTGCCTCCGAGACCTCGAGCTTCCAACGCGCGATAGTCAATAATTGCCTTTAGGGTGTACCGGGTCGGTTTCGTGAGCTAGATTTCCGTCCTGAAGTTAGTCGACGGCGTGGTTCGCCGCGATCGGCTAGATAACGCGGAAGATCCTTGGGAAAGATGATTCGCGTGGACGAGACGGACCCGGTTGGTGGTAAGAGGTTTGCTTAACACCATCGCCAACGAGTGCACATACATTTAAATTTGCATAAAATTCGTTGTCATAAACTCATGAAAATCATACGTACATACGTATAACGTAACGTAAACGTAAGGCGTATCGCCAATATCCACGTGCATTTTATTTACATGCTTGAGAATTCCAATTAAGCGTAACCAGCAATTTGTATTTCAATTGAAATAAATGCTAACGGTATACCACAAGTCTCTGGGTCAACTGCCAATCTATACAAAGTAGAGCCGAGTGATTTGTAAATTGACAAAATTAATACTGTCTCGCATTTTTAGAGATCGAACCGAGTTTCCCGTACAGAGACGTCACCGTGAGGAAGGGTGTTGAATTCAAGGATCATTATGACATCCAATCAGAGATTGGACGGTAAGTAGTAAGTTGGAAGATGCTTAGCCTATAACTGTGCACACCGATGACGCAAGGATATACGTATACAATTCCACTTTGTACAATATGCATATAAAGATGTAGGTATCCATGTATAATGCCAAAGAGGCGGTAGAAGGTCTCAATTAATTTTAACGAGATCCGCTAGCTAGATGCTGTTATCGTAGAAAAAGGATCCTGCGCAAAATTCATCGTGGAATGTCTTGGCAACCGGCATCTATACCTATATTCCACCTCATAAATTCATTGCGCTACTCTTGCTACGCAACATCGACGTGATACGCATACGTCACACTATCGCAAGAGACAATGAAATAAGAAGTGGATGCTGGTTGAGTATAGAACGTCCATGGAACGTCCGCTAGGCATCGCCTTCGCTCTTGTGGTCCGGAATAAAGCATCGGATTAGAAAATATTTTTCTATCATCAAAGAACGAAGATTGTATCCGCGCGTCGTCGTGACGCCTATGATGTTGTGTTCGCTGGTACACACCTATATCACTGTGTCTATACGCTAGACAGTCGTATATATGAATAGACGCACCAAACTGTATAAACTGGTCGTCGAATAATAACAGTGAAAAGAGTGTGCGTACACGTTCTTGTATAGGTAATCAAGGTCTTCGCGTCTATAAATAATGCCTTCGCTTCGAAGAGTGACGTTGCACGTCGTCTCGACGGCAATTCGATCAGATGCTGGCCGTCGCGACGCCCGCTACGTGCAAGACGCTCTTGACACGAGGGTTCAAACGGGCGTCGAAGCATCGCGCGTAACAACGTTCCACTCAGGCTGCTCCACTAACTCACTGACTCACCGATCTTGCAAGCTGGCTAACAGTGAACAAACCAAGTCACCCGGTTGCCAAGATGTCAAATGACAAATTGGCACCTGCGGTGCTTGATTTCTTAACGCAGCATCCGACCGGTACTCGAAACAAAACAATGGAAAAGAAAAACAAATATAAAAGTTGAGAAGAAGAGATGCGCTGATGGTGTTAATAAAGAAAAATTTAGATGATAATATTTTTTTTAAATACTCTGTCATCCTTAGGGGCAAGTTCGGTACTGTTTACCGATGCATGGAAAAGTCTAGCGGCTTGCATCTCGCTGTTAAGGTTGTCAACACTGCAAGGAAGGAGGACAGACGTGCTGTCGAGAGGGAAGTCGAGATCATGAGGAGACTTCAGCATCCTCGATTGATACAGCTGTATGATGCTATCAACACCGGCAAGCAGATATATGTTATATTAGAATTGTTAGTTAATTTTTCTATCGAGTTACTCAATGTATTAGCGTACGATGGATTACCGATTATTATTCGTAGAATCGAAGGCGGTGAACTCTTCGAGAGGGTGATCGACGATGACTTCGTACTGACTGAGAGAAGCTGCGCCGTCTTCATGAGACAGATATGCGAGGGTATGGAGTTTATTCACTCGCAGAATATCTTGCATCTGGATATGAAAGTGAGGAATCATGATGAATGATTGTACCAGGTAAAATATCCCATCGCCAGTCATCTTGGCTAACTGTCACTTTTATATCTTGACAGCCTGAAAATATATTATGCCTTACGAAAGAGGGCAATCGTATCAAGATCATAGACTTCGGTCTGGCAAGACAATACGACCCTGAGAAGAAGCTTCAGGTACTCTTTGGTACGCCGGAGTTTGTTGCACCGGAAGTCGTGAACTTCGACCAAATAGGTTTTGGCACTGATATGTGGAGCATCGGCGTCATTTGTTATGTGCTGTAAGTGAAATTTAGTATTATTTTTTTTTTAGTAGATTCACCGGATATTACCTGGTACATTCTATAGAGAGTCATAAGAATTGTACTACAGAGATGGTCTACCTGGATGGTTAGACTTTCAGGGTTGTCACCGTTCATGGGAGACAACGATATGCAGACGATGGCGAACGTGACCATCGCCAAGTACGACTTTGATGACGAGGCCTTCGCCGACATATCCCAGGACGCCAAGGACTTCATCAGGAGTCTTCTGATCAAGGACAAAGAGTAAGCAAGCTTTGTGGATTCCCTTGAATATTTAGAAACACATACGTAATCCATACCCGCTTGATATTCACATTTCCAAGAGCTTCCGTGACCTTCTTCCCTGTGGTTGTCTCTCGCCATATTCCTCTAGTTCCACCAGGTGGACATGACCCATGTGTCCTTCGTGTCACTTGTCCTGTTCGCGCGACGTGCTAACGAACAGCCCGATTGACCTTGGCAAGTTGTTAAAAAAAATGACCCACCCTCGAAAGGCTCGAATAGAGAGAAAGAGAGAAAGGGAGATCGAAAGAGAGAGATAAGAAAAAGAGAAACACAAAAAAGAGCTCGCGAGGTCGTATTTCGTAAGGTTCATCCTACGTTCCAAGCATGCCGTCGATCAGGCCACCCTCTGAGAATGACTGATCCTAAAAGAGGGATGATGATGATGTGTCTTTCAGACTGCGAGCCTCGGCATCTCAGTGCCGCGCGCATCCCTGGTTGGCCAAAAGGTCCACCGTACCATCGACCAGGGTTGGGGAGAAAGCGGAAGTAGAGAAACCGAGAACGGACGTTGACGTTATCGTGACGAGAGAGGAGCTCGACGTTACCAAGGACAATCTGAGGCTGTTCGTCGAGCGATGGCGAGAGCATCCCAACAGCCCTTACTTGATCGAGCACCACGAGGCTAATGGTTCCTGGCATCCGGACAACGCCAGGAGGTCCAATTCCGATGAGAACAACGTGGAATCGGTGTCTCTGCGGGGTCAGAGTCCGTCGCCCTGTGGTAGTGTCTCTAGCTCATTGTCAGAAAGTACCAGCTCACCGAGGGAGAATGGCAACTTCCTACTTCCGGTGCCAAACTTTTCTTACGCCTTCGAAAGACGCGCGTCTGAGGGTACTGCATTGGCACCAGAGAAACGTGACGCTGCAGCGCAGATTGTATTAGCTGAAGAGATCATTAAATTGTCTGAACACCTTAGATCAATTGCCATGGGACCTAAAGTATCTGGGACTGACAATGACGCACCTAATGTTGACCTCCCTGCAGAATCCGCTTCTTCAGAAGAAGCTAAGGCTTTCGTTAGTGTTAATTCCACTGGGGTCCAAGATAAAGCAGTTAAAACGTCAAAGCCAAAGGAAGACGAGAAGTCTGGACTTTCACGAAATGGTGCCACGACGAAAATCTCCTCCAAGAGAAGCGATAGCATCGTTTTCACTGATACTACCACCAGGACCAATGAGATCTCTGAGAAGCTCTCGAACATTACTAAACAAAGAAAGATTAATGGTACTACTTTCAATGGTGTACGAACGTTTGAAAGAAACACAGAATCAATTCCTACCCCATTCGCTACCCTAAAGAAAACATCAAAGCTCCAAATGGATGGTGCAGTCCCCAAAGAAAATTCGTCGACCAACTATGATCGACTCTTTCGTGATCGTGTAAAGACCAGTACCTTTCTGCAGAAGAGTCATACCTTTGGGTCTACATCCAAAATGGAGGATATGCAGATACCCTTCCTGAACGTGGAGAGAGAAATGGATCTGACTCCACCATGGCGAAGGGCGCGGTCAAAGCATCGTTTTAGCGAGACCTGTAGGGATGTGCCCCGCATCTCAAATCTGCAGGATATTCACAAGAATCTTAACCTGGACGAGCCTACGAGTACGAAGGACCTTCTGCTGCAGCTTCTAGGAGAATGGGACGACGCATCCAGACCCAGTGGAATTGGTAGAAAATCAGTCAGTGTTGACTGGTGCGGCGAGGAATCCATAGCTCGAAAATCAATGAATTCCCTCGCCGAATATTTTCAATCAGAGTCGCAGAAAACTAATGCCGTGGGTGGTGGTCGACCCTCGACGCCACCATTCATACACCGTTGACGAGAAGAGTTCATCCTCAGGGTCTTCCAATGCGTATCTAATTGTGACGGATGGATTAAAATTGGATTTTCCCATGTAGAGAGACTTGGATATACCTAGTTCGTTTTCTTGACGACGATCTACGTAATCCTGATTGATATATTCCTTGGCTCTGAATCTCGTCGAATTCCTCTTAGGATCCGCCCCTGTGCATGTTATTCTTTTATTTATTATAAATTTAATATAAAGGTGACTAACTGATCACGCGAGAGACTTTTCTTTTATTTATTGCCTGTCTTGCTTTGCCACGTCAATTACCATCAGTCCCATTAAACTTGTACCTTGTTCAGAATGAGACCGCGGGCGGAACAACTCCTGGAGCACCGTTGGCTCGAGGCTGCCTTGGACAACCCGATCTCGAAGGTCAGGTTAAAGCGTTACGTCATCAAGAAACGTTGGGTCAAGGCCGTCAACACTATCCTGGCTCTAAGAAGAATGGGAGCTCACATCAACCTCGAGCTCGTATAGGTTAATATAACCTCCAACGGCTTATTCGGTGATAGGGATAACTGAAGTGAAATATGTAAAGAATGGACCAACCTGCAAACATTTTACAAAGTTCAAATCCCCTGGTGGGTGGAATGAATAATGTGAATTGTGAAGGAATTTGGCCGTCCCGGCCAAGAATCGACGACGCGTTACTCTCGCCTGACAAAAATACTCGAGGGTTTCGGAGCTTTTACTTACTTTAGATATTAAGAATCTTTTAAGTTCCATTGCTGCCTTAACGCACTATGTACACGATAGCAATGTTCATTCGTGCCTTAAATAAAGTATTCTATATTTTATTGAATCTTGACGTACGTGAACGAATAATGGAGTCCAGATTATTCGCGTCCTCGCATTATGGACGTTTGCCAGATATTTTTGAACTTATTTCCACCTGTTGAAAACACGGCACCAGTGAGGGATACGCTGCTGAATCTATTTAAAGAAAATTCCCGCAGAAACTAATTGGCATCGCGACGCCATCTGTCTACTAGACGCTCGGACATTGTTGAACGACGTCTGAAATGGCGCCCGGCGCGCCATAGAAGACGCCACTAGAAAACATGGCCGCCTTGTACGATTTTTCAGAACTCATTCATGCTTTGGTGACGGTTTGTGTACTTGATTCTAACCTATGCAGTTCGACTGATTAATTATTTAGCAGAGAATTCTATTTGACATATTTTAGATTCTAGATTTAACAAGCAAGACGTATTATTCAACATTCGAAAAATGGTAAGTCTCCATACCCACAATGCGCTGCGGTTTAAGCTAACAATGAAATTTTTGGATTCAAATCTTATTGTTATGTTATGTTTCAGGAAGACAAAATAATCAACTGGAGTCCATATGCTAAAGAATATGATCCTTTGAAAGCTGGTAGCATTGATGGTACTGATACAGAACCACATGATAGAGCTGTCAGTAGAGCAATGATAACACATTATGAGCCTCCGCATGGATTGAAATCAAAGCCAGACAGAACTCTCTTCGTATCTAGATTTGGACCTAACGTTTCTAAACAAGATTTAAAAGAGGTATTTCTTGTACATTTACTGTTAACAATATCGCAGAACATGTAACTTTTATTCTTAGCATTTATCTTGTGTTACAGTGTTTTTCAAGGTACGGACAAGTGGTTTCGGTAAAGATTATAGTTGACATAGTAACAGGACTGTCTCAGGGTTATGGATTTGTAGAAATGAAAACAGAGGACGAAGCAAGATGGGCTTCAAAACGTGTACATGACACAATACTAAAAGGTTCTAAGATATTTGTTGATTTCGAATGCAGCAGAACAATGAAGGGTTGGAAACCACGTAGACTTGGTATGTAGATATATAAATTGAGAAATGAGACGTCAATCGAGTGTTATGATCTGCCATCTAATGTTCAAAACTTTATTTTACATAGGTGGAGGATTCGGTGGTAAAAAGGAATCAGGGCAGTTGAGATTTGGAGGAAAGGACAGACCATTCAAGAAACCAATTTTACCAGGTGTTGTGAGGCAACGTGAAGAAACTAATAGCAAGTAATATCCAATACACGATTTACGCGAAATACTGATCGACTTAAAATCCATCCACATGTACATAGTGATTAAAAAAGAAAGAAAAAGCATTCCATTCGTAAATAAATAGTGATAAATTTTAATCTCGATTCAAATAAGTTGCTAGTTTGTCTAAGTTTGGTAGGTGTAACCACCAGACGGGATACTGTCGCGATACTCGATATCTGTTCATCTTGTTTTCCCGAAACGTCGTCGAGATGCCAATAAGCATGAGAGAAGGACCAATCGAAGAGAATCGTGCGGTGTTTTGGTAGCGACGTCGCGAGGCGGCTTCGCGGCAGCAACTTTATAGCGGGCGTCACGACGCCCTCCCCCGGGACACCGCCCTCCATATATGGGCGCGTCGCCGGTTGGGACTCTGTTGCGCGCAGCCAAGATCCTCCAGCCGAAATGAGCGAGTCGGTTTCCTTCCCACTGATTCCCACTGATAAGACTACCACCCTCGCAACATCACCCTCAGATACATGCGCATTCACTGCTACACAACTCCTAAAAGAATTCACTGACAACCTACAGATGAATTCCCAGCGGAAAGCTCAACCTACTTATGTTTGTTTACCAGCGAACTAGCCAGCTATTATTTCCCTAAGCTCGAGTCATGCTCTCATTTTCTTTCTTTTTTTTTCAAAAAATAAAAAAATCAACTAGGAACAAGTATGAGAACTCGTAAAAGAACGCGCTGAATGACACAACAGCCAGCTAGATATCTTCAACAACGATTAAATAGTTGTAAACTAGTTTTATTTTTATGCAGATTCCAAGCTGGTCCAGGAGCTCGCAAAGAGCGTTCACTCTTGCAGAGTACGAGTGCTCCGACTAATGTAAATCTTGGTCTCCCTACCCCGGAGTCTCCGTTGGAGATCCGTACCATTATCCTGATAGGATGCTGCGGTACCATTTCGGCAAGGCAGATCAGGGCTGGGACGTTGCTGACAGAGTCCGGCATGCTGGTGTTGGAGATAATAGGTGAAAAGACCAAGTACAAGCAGAGGAAGAATAAGAGACGCAGAGGTAGAAGAAGATGGTATCTGGTAGGAACCGACGACAAAAATAGTAGTGGTCGAGGATGAGCAACGCTTGCGCCCTGAGGATCCTCCGCATAGGAGGGCATAATCGTTCTTAGAGGGATAACGAAAACGTACTCGCGGAGTTCTCAAATCGAATCCGACTATTAATAGGATAGGAAAGAAGAGGAGGAAGAGCAACTCGAGTCTTGGTTTTGCCGAGGACGAAGAGGTCGGACTTCAGAGCCGCTCTAGCTGTCGCGGACTCCACATTCCACCAGAAAAGCTCTCCCGTGTGTGGTGACCAGTCACTCGGCTAGGGCCCAAGATCCCACTCTCACTCATTCTATCACACTCCCTGAGTGTAAGTTCATTTTATTATCCATCCTAACTGGCGTTATCTCAATAGATTAAATAACAAAGACGTCGAGCGACGACGACGCTCTGTTAATACAGTGAAAGTTTCATGGCTGCCGCTTCGCGTAACCGTACTATCGTTCTGTGCCTTCTTAATATGGTTCTACGTGCCCGTTTGCGTAACACTACGCTTTTTTTTTAATAACAAACAAAAGTGCAAGTTTTCACCTTAACGCCATACTACGTCGTGACGCTGTCTACGTGCTGTGTGCTCTTCGTGGAAGCTGTGTGTAACGTGAGACCGAGCCATGGTCGAGCGTCTATTTTTTTTTTATCAAGTGAACTTCTCGCAACGTTAAATCCTACTGCGCTGAAAAAAACCCGCGAAAATCATATCTTTAAATATTATTCTGAGCTGTTACCAAAAGACGGGGTAAAGTACTTGAAAGAAAAAAGTTACAAAAAAAAAAACTTTCATCGCTACTGTCTGTCATCGGTATGCGGGGTTATGTATTAAATTCTTTCAGTAAATTCTGGCAAACGTAAGCTTCCTGACGTGGCGTGTGGGTAGTGCACGGGATATATCCGCCGGTATATTTCCGTCTGTTAAACGCTCGCGAGCGCGTTCACGTAGCAAAGCCAAAAGCTCATAGGGAAAGATGAACCGCCGCGAACGAAGTCGCGGACGGGGCCAAGGTTCTATAATTAGCGTCGCGGCGCGGAACTCTAAGTAGAAGAAGGGTGGGTAGGGAAAGGGGATAGGGGGTCCCCTTCGACTCCTTATAGAGCTTGCGGCATCGAGCTTGCGGCCAGGGTTAGCAAACTGCCTCGACACCTATCAGGTTACCCTTTGGACCGGTATAACGAACAGCTAACGACTCGCCTCACTTGGTTCGCAAATTTTTTAATTTATTTTTCAATTATCCCTCCCCCGTTGTTAACAGCCACCCCTGCCCCTCGTCCCGCTCTCCCTGCCCGATTATCTCATTCAATTATCATTTAATCGGTATTTCGTCATCGGTAGACGTTATTTCTGGAATTTCATTGCGGTTCTTTTATTTTTTTTTTTTTTTTTAATCGGCCAATTCCTCTAAGACGTGTTCATCAATTTCTCAAGATCCGTTTTAAAAATCTTTTCTTCTTTTTTCACTTGCAGAAACGTAACCACCCGAAAACATGTCTGACGACGAGGACCAATACTCGTAAGTATCTTTGCCATATACAGCTAACGTAGATCGATAATAATTAATCGGACTTCCTTACAGATATTTAGTAAATCGCTGCCTCGTTAATTTGTCATAATGTTGAAAATTGGCAAAACATTTTTTTTTTATCATTATTAAATATTACGTAGGATTTCGATATCTCGGATAAATCTTCGAAGCTTGACGTTTTACAACACGTTAAACAATTACACGATACATTGAGAAAGTCTCTATCACGTAAGCCAATGCATAACCGAAAATCCTCAATTTCTTAAATGTCCACCTTCTTCGCTGTAATTTTGAGTGTTGTCAGGAATTTTGGATAAAGATCAACCGTCCGTCCAGTCTTTAACGATAACGCGTGAAACCCTTGTCCGAACTGTCTGTTACATAAAAATTGTTTATCCAATTGGTGTCCGACTGTTTCCCGTGAATCCCTTAAAAATGTTACACGTGATTCAAAAATTGGTTACCCCAAAAAAGCATGTCAAGAATAACTAACCAAACCCTGTGTACTTTATTTTTTACAGCAGCGAGGAGGAGGTCGAGGAAGTGTAAGTATCTTCCCTGTGAAAATAATCGAAATTGGGTGAAGAAAAAAAAAATTACCCCAATTTCTTCTCGAAAAAAAGAAAATATCCACAGTGCTAACAAGTTTCCTTTTCGTTTCTCTTTTTACAGGAAGTAAGTGCCAGAAGTCAATACCTATTCAAGTACTAGTTACCAACTACGGAATTACTATTAGGAAATAGTAATTAATAATTATCGATCTGTCGCAATCGATATCTGCCAACGTCGATACGATGTCTCGTATTATTTCTTCTTTTTATTATTTTCTCTTAACACATCGCATCAGCGTTAAATCTGCCGAACTCGATAAGCAGAATCGACAGATATCGGCGATCGATTTGCATGTTTGAAAAGTCAAGACGAGCTTCCTCGTGCCAGCACGATGCCTATTTTACCTCATTGTTAATAATTATTGACCATCGGCAAAAGGTCTGGATAAATTACGCAACGTCTTATAAATGGGTCAGCAAGCACTTGGAAACTCGGTCGTAGGTATCAGCTTATTATATACATAGGTATAACCTATAGATATATTCAGCTATACTGTAACCAGTACCAGCTCTGGATATAACATCTTAGCGTATAAGTATAACGTGTTCTCGAGATTCTCTAGAAAGGGGCGTAGTGTCCGGCGAACCCACCCGTCACCGTTTAAAATTAGCATCTTTTACGTTCAAAAATAACTTGGCTGGATGGAGTTGGTGCCCCGTTGGCTTCACTCTCATTTTCTCTTTCTATCTCTCTCTTTCACTTTATCTCTAGACGCACGTAATTTGGCAGATATAAAAAAAGAAGGCCTCAAGGCAATAGCCCTGTTTTATTTTATTTTTTATTTATTTATTTTTTTTTTCAAAATTAAAACGGCGTACGGGTCGGTTCCAGAAATGGACTGTGTGTAAATTCGTACGAAAAAAAAAAAGTATCGAAAAATCGTGTGAATGGAATTGGCACTGTTTTTTGGGATGCTGATGACGCAATCCTCACAATACTCTGAACCATACGAGGAATTTAATGAAATTTTGCTCTTTTATTTTTGTAATTTTTTTTTCTTTCGACTCTTTCGTTCTCTCTTCAATTTTTGTCCCGACTACGTCAGCATGTATTAAGGAGACTCGAGATATGTGACTATGTTACGTCGTGATCACTGACTTAGCTATGGCTTATTTCTCTATGTTCCCAATGTATACACACAAAATCAATCACCAATCGAATCACCAATGCATCGACCAATCGACGCACGCGACGCGAACCCGATTACATTCGATTGAAACAGGCAGCCGGAGAAGAAGATCGAGTAAGTTTGACTGCCTGAAAAATGCCTGCCTCTCTGTATATCTGTCAGTCAGTCTGTCCGTCCGCTATTATCTATCGCTACTGTGCCGACTTATATATACGTACTTATATAATATTCTTATCTTTCTTTCTTTATCATTATTTTTTTTTTTATTTACACCTCACAACTATTTATTTAATTTGCACTGTCCAAGCGCTCAATCGCTACTCTTCATTTATACGTTCTCTCTCTCTTGTCTCTCTTTATTCCATCCTTCGTCTCTCTGGCGTTCTCTGTATCTCTCTCCCCCCCCCCCCC